AGTCCACTGATGTTCCTCCCTTAGATTGAGACCGTTTCACTCATGTTTGTTCTCATTGTAATGTGGACAACCTATGAATCCATGTTTGGGTAAGTATGGGTCCATCTAGTTCATTATACACTACAAGTGAGTTTCCACAATGTGGAGGCACAAAGGTACATTTCGGACTCCTTACCTCTTCCGGTTCCCAAATTTGGTCCATTTGATGTTCCTCCCTTGGATTGAGACCGTTTCACTCATGTTTCTCCTCATAGTCATGTATAGAACCTATTAATCCATGTTTGGGTAAGTATGGGTCCATCTAGTTCATCATTATACACTACAAGTAAGTTCCACAATTGGAGGCACAAAGCTACATTTCGGACTCCTTACCTCTTCCGGTTCCCAAATTTGGTCCATTTGATGTTCCTCCCTTGGATTGAGACCGTTTCACTCATGTTTCTCCTCATAGTCATGTATAGAACCTATTAATCCATGTTTGGGTAAGTATGGGTCCGTCTCGTTCATCTATACACTAAAAGTAAGTTTCCACATTGGAGGCACAGAGCTACATTTCGGACTCCTTACCTCTTCCGGTTCCCAAATTTGGTCCATTTGATGTTCCTCCCTTGGATTGAGACCGTTTCACTCATGTTTGTCATAGTCATGTATAGAACCTATTAATCCATGTTTGGGTAAGTATGGGTCCGTCTCGTTCATCATATACACTAAAAGTAAGTTCCACCATTTGGAGGACAAAGCTACATTTCGGACTCCTTACCTCTTCCGGTTCCCAAATTTGGTCCATTTGATGTTCCTCCCTTGGATTGAGACCGTTTCACTCATGTTTCTCCTCATAGTCATGTATAGAACCTATTAATCCATGTTTGGGTAAGTATGGGTCCGTCTCGTTCATCATATACACTAAAAGTAAGTTTCCACCATTGGAGGCACAAAGCTACATTTCGACTCCTTACCTCTTCCGGTTCCCAAATTTGGTCCATTTGATGTTCCTCCCTTGGATTGAGACCGTTTCACTCATGTTTGTCCTCATAGTCATGTATAGAACCTATTAATCCATGTTTGGGTAAGTATGGGTCCGTCTCGTTCATATACACTAAAAGTAAGTTCCCACCATTTGGAGGCACAAAGCTACATTTCGGACTCCTTACCTCTTCCGGTTCCCAAATTTGGTCCATTTGATGTTCCTCCCTTGGATTGAGACCGTTTCACTCATGTTTCTCCTCATAGTCATGTATAGAACCTATTAATCCATGTTTGGGTAAGTATGGGTCCGTCTCGTTCATCATATACACTAAAAGTAAGTTCCCACCATTTGGAGGCACAAAGCTACATTTCAGACTCCTTACCTCTTCTGGTTCCCAAATTAAGTCCACTTGTGTTCCTCCCTTGGATGAGACCGTTTCAACTCATGTTTCTCCTCATAGTCATGTATAGAACCTATTAATCCATGTTTGGGTAAGTATGGGTCCGTCTTCGTTCATCATATACCCTAAAATAAGTTCCCACCATTTGGAGGCACAAAGCTACATTTCAGACTCCTTACCTCTTTCGGTTCCCAAAGTTGTGAAGAACTCACCGCCGATTCGCATCTCGTCCCGGCTACGATGGTCGGAGCTAAAGCTGGAGATCAAATCCGCGACTACATCAAAACCTCAGACTCTCCCACCGCAGAAATCGAATTCCTAGGCACCCTAATCGGTCCATCTCCTCCTTCTCCCAGAGTCGCCGCCTTCTCCAGCCGTGGACCGAATCACTTGACGCCGGTTATCCTCAAACCGGACGTAATTGCGCCAGGAGTCAACATCTTAGCCGGTTGGACCGGAATGGTAGGTCCGACCGATTTGGATATCGACCCAAGACGGGTCCAATTCAATATCATCTCCGGCACATCAATGTCGTGCCCACACGTCAGCGGGCTCGCCGCTCTCCTCCGTAAAGCCCATCCCGATTGGTCGCCTGCAGCCATCAAATCCGCCCTCGTTACAACCGCTTACGATGTCGAAAACTCCGGCGCACCAATAGAGGATCTCGCCACCGGGGAGCCGTCAAACTCGTTCATCCATGGAGCCGGGCACGTCGATCCGAACAAAGCTTTGAATCCTGGTTTGGTTTACGACATCGACGTCAAAGAGTACGTCGCTTTCCTCTGCGCCGTGGGATACGAGTTTCCGGGGATTCTAGTCTTCCTCCAGGATCCAACTCTTTACAACGCCTGCGAGACGAGCAAGCTAAGAACCGCCGGCGATCTTAACTACCCTTCTTTCTCCGTCGTATTCGGATCGACCGTCGATGTTGTGAAATACAGAAGAGTTGTTAAAAACGTGGGAAGCGACGTCGACGCGGTGTACGAAGTCGGGGTTAAATCTCCGGCGAATGTTGAGATTGAGGTGTCTCCGAGCAAGCTTGCGTTTAGCAAGGAGAAGAGCGAGTTGGAATACGAAGTGACGTTTAAGAGCGTTGTGCTCGGCGGAGGAGTCGGAGCCGTGCCTGGTCATGAGTTCGGGTCGATTGAGTGGACCGACGGCGAACACGTGGTTAAGAGTCCGGTGGCTGTTCAATGGGGTCAGAGCTCAGTTCAGTCCTTCTAAACAGACAGTTAAAATTGGGCCTTGGTTTATGTTTCCACACACAAATTTCGTATCGGGCTTCTTTAATGGGTCTTGTTGTTAATGGTCCGATCTGTACTCATTTATTAAGCCCTTCCTCTTGGGTTAGACCACTATGCATGGGGTGAATGAGTATAAAATGGATTTGCATTTGTAAAGTTTGTAAAACATTGCAAGAAATGTTTTTTTTTCAATAAACCAGACAATTTCGATCTGACTAAAAGGAAAAAAGAAGGTCATTTCTCTATAATTTTTCTTTTAATCAAGGTTATCAAAAACTTCAGTTTTCAATTCTGTAGTCTGTACTCACGAGAGCGAAAGAAAAGAAAAAAAAGGACTCCAATAGTCAACATCAAACCAAAAATGAATAAATAAACATTAGCCGACCATCACTTGACACACACACAATACTAAAAGAAGTCAAGAAGTATATCAATTTCCGGTGAATTGTTTTCACCAGAATCTACATAATTGCACTAAAGTTGACTTTCTATGTAATAGAGACAAAAGGGTCCCTTTGATCTACGTAACTAGGTGTCGTCTTCTGCACCTAGACATAGATGGCGCTTACACTTTGCTTGTCTAAGCTTAGCTACTTATTACATTTCTAAATTATACTAATACACATTCGTATGCGCTAGAGACTAGAGTAAATGGTTACCGAAATTGTATTAACCAAGCCATAGATGGATTTGGGCATGTTTAACTAAGAGCGCCACATGTGCTAAATTGACTCAATCGATATGAGACCAGTTAAAAAGCATGTTAGATGTTTACCCAAAATTTTCCTATAGTACAGCGACTAAAAACGAATATTCGATCTGACCAACTTCTTAGATAAATGGTTAATATTTTACAATATTGATTGATCAACGATCTCTGTATGAAACTTGACTAGTATCAATTGACATTTTGATACGATGGAACATACTGCTAGATGATAACATGCATCATCTGCTCTGCAGTCCATTTTCTATCTAATTTTTCGTTCTTCCAGTTGATTTCTTTACCTTTTTCAATTAATTTCAGTTCAAAAATTATATGTCAAAATATGTGGCTCTACTGAAATGTCGTGATATCTAGGTCATCCCCTATATGGCTATATAGATAAAATTGTAACGGCGAAAACCAACAAATGGTTTATGATTTGGACATAAGAGACTAAATTACGGAAATTACGTAGAATATCATATTAACTCGTCAGTGACTGGCTAACAAACTCCATGACTCCAGTCTCTCTCTCTCTATATAATAAGTCTCTCAATATAACTCCATGGACCATCTTCCTTTATTACTCTTTCTTCTACAAAGTTCTCTCGCTAGCTATCCCAATGGATCCCCATTCAGTGATCACTTCCGCATTCCGGTGGCCGTCAAGTCGCCGTAAGGTCTATCTCCGTCGGCGTAAGCCACAAGTCGTACGCCTCGGCGGAAAAAACAGTAAACCACGTGGCAGGTTCACGCTCAAGAGGATGGTGACAAGGATGAGGCTCAAGTGGCTGAGACTGTACTACGTGAGGCTCGTGAAGAAGATCCAAGGGTATTATCGTGATTTGGTTAAGGAGTTTGCGGACGCCGGAGCCACCACTATCCAGCAACGGATGACGGTGGAAACGGCGGCTTTTGCGGCCCCTGGATTAGGTCTATCTATCTACCCCATGTCCGGCCAAGATCGACCCCGTTTTTTTCTTGTATAGCTAAATAATTATTGCTTAACTTCTTGATCACTATCAAATTAGTTAGCTTCGTTAAAATGTCAAATTATATTGCTACTTTTAAATTTGCTATTAATTAAAGGTAGCTGTAAGCAATACTATAATATACTAGCGATGTCACAAAATTGTCAGGAGTATAAAACATTTTGAACAGAACAGAAAAATTAAAATAATAGAGAAATTCGAATAACTGGATGGATTATGGGAATAAACTTGTTCTGTAAGAGTTATTGTCGGCGATCTAACTGATAAGCAGATAGATATTGCTATTCAGATCCTAGACATTTTTAAGTTACAGAATATGTATGTTCTTTTTTTTGGTAATGCAACGGGGAACAAAAGAGTCCCCCATGGTTTTATTCATAAAAAAGAAGTTACACAATCACTTGTCTAGGGAAAGTAGTCGCTACAACATCCTTCTCCAAAATACTTCTAAAGACGAGGGTACAAACTCAAATAAATGGAAACCCAACGGTAGAGTAAAAGTAAGGTTCGCCAAATCATCTGCAAGTCGATTGCCTTCCCGAAACACATGTTTGACGTGGACTAATCAGTCCTGTAAAAAGTCTTGGCACAACCGTACCAGAAACGATAAGGGGTGGGAGTCGTTCACCCCTTTCTCCAGAATATGTATGTTCTTGTGGTGGAATCGTTTTTTTTCCTCTGTAACTTATATGAAAAGTTTTGAAGGACATTTATATGAGATCTCATTAGATTCGAGTACATTTATGCTATCATGAAGTTTTAAGAAAGAAATAGCAGACATACAGTACATAGGTTTTATTATTCTGCCAAGCAGCACAAACATATACTCCTAATCTGTTTGAAAAGATTATTGGGGTCCCTGATGAATAATGATTGGTCTGTTAGTAAGGAAACATGTTTTCTTTGTTTCAAACTCTTCTGTTCTCAGAAAAACAAAACTCTTGTTTTGAAAAGACTTAGACTAGAGTTAAGAGAGTGATAAGATAAATCATTAATGGGTTTATAAACCCAAAATGTATTTTACCCTTTTAGTTCAGCCCAGGCCACCAAACTTAATTCAAAGAGCCCCAAAATACTATTGTGCAAATCTAATCGGAGTAAACAAACCAAACCATAATATAAGCTAGCGGTTTATCTTTGATCGGTTAAGAGAAAACCGGAACGAGATACATGTGTGTGAAGTCAAGATGCGTGTGAGGAAAGGGTGGTTTGCGTGAAGGAACGAATAAAAGGCAGCGGGAACAATTCCACGTGGACAAGTCATATGGCTGCTGACTAAAACCTAATACTTTGCTTCTTACGCAAATCGCATTCCGTAATTTGTTGTCTCGGGACCACCTCTCTTGTTCTTGTTTTCTAATGCACTCTTAAATCGAAAACAACCAATTTTGATTCCGTAAAAATATCTCGAATGCTCCATATAAAGCCAATACATATTGTTCTAACCAACTCAAATTGAAATATGATCCTTCTTCTGCCGCCGACGTAGAAAACCACGTCATTATAAAACGATCATATCATTATCATACGTCTTTTATACACCAACGCACGTGATAAAGAATTAAGAATGTAACAGGGCTATTGAGTATTGACTATTGACCAGTTGACTCTTAACAACCGTAAGAAATCGAAAATAGAGTTTTACGGCTGTAATTCAATCTGAATATGAAATTGCAACCGTAGCCGTCTGATTCGGGTAAACACGCGATCCCCACAAGTCGCGGAGGTGGAGCTGGGGAGTGTACACGTGGGACGAGCGTGACAGCCATTTTTCTTTCATGGCCGCCGATTCGGACGCGTGCCATGTTCGTTTTTGGCCGACTTGGCTCCACGTGGCGACTTTTCTTGCTGCGATAGTTTTTCTCCAAGACGCGTCGGTGTCCTTATCTAAAATTCTAAACTCCTCCTCTAATCTTCTAGAGCATCGCAATAAACCCAAAACAGTTTCTAAAATTAATCGCTCAATGCACTGAGAATGTCACTATTGCCCCTGCCTAGTAACAACCATATATGTTAATATGGACCCAGATTCCACACCTGGAATCTAGCCCGTAAGGGCCCATTACCTTGATCCAAGATTGAAGTCCAGGCCCACTCAAGCCCAGCAAGAAGACCTCGAGCCCACCAAGCGACTCCCTCGTAAGCCAGTTAACTGCCATCCGAGCTATTCCGGTCGACGTAAAGACGAGCTCCAGCTCGATCAAGGACCAGGTCGGCACTGCGAAGAAAGACGAAGTCAAAGAAGATCTCCTTCAAATCCGGTCTGGTCCGAGATCACCGGGATCGTTAGCTGCACGTGGCGAGATACGCGGAGGTGGATCGTAGCTGATTCTGGAGCTATAAAAGGAGCTTGACAGCAGTCGGATCAGGGAGACATCTTCTTCCGATCACTTTAGACCTAATTACTATCATACTTTCCTTGTATTCACCTTTGAGCTTAGTTCTTTCTCTCTTCTGAGAATTCATTGTAACCAAATTCATTCGTTTAATACAATTCCGTTTAGCCAAATCCTTGCTTACGATTCATTCGACTTACATCAAAATCTAGCCCTAAATCTCCCTAAGTTTCTTCCTTGCAAAACCTATAAATTTCGAGTGTGGTTTTCATAGCTCACAATATATATTTTTTTTTCTTTTTTTTTTTGTCAACGCATATTTGATTACTTGAATGTTTTCTAATTAGATGTTTGACTGTGGATATATCACATTGCAAAATTTAATCGGTAATGATTTTTTTCATTTTCTTTCCTCACTCGAAATATATTCGTTAGCAAAGAAGACAATATCTCGTGGTGGACCATCTTTTTCTACAATCTGCTGATTTTTGTTCGTGTTTAAAGTATCAAACCCCAATTTGCCAAAAGGTATAGCAAATATATTAAATAATAAAGTCGTTTTTCAACACTCGTCATCATAATTATATGAATCAAGCTGATGCAAATGGGATGACTCATCTGCCGTATAAAGTATAAACTGTACTATAACCATTTTAAACAAAAAAACTGAAGAAGAAAAAATATATTTTTCAAAAAAGATTCCAAGAGGATAAGAAGATATATAAAAATGATTATTATAATAAAGTAAAATTCATACAAAACAATATGGCGGGGTCATGCATTTGGCGTGAAGGTAAAGAAAGCATATGTTAACAATGATTACGAATATTTCTCATTAGAAATACTGAAATAGTGAGGTAAGAAAAAAAAAATCTGAAATAATATTGTAATAAAAAAATCTAGAAGTAGTAAAAAAATAAAATAAATCAGTACTACGAGTTTAGGT